ACAACACGGGAACCAGCAGAATACCCCTGGATGCAGCACCTCACGAAACAGCCAACACAAGCACAGCAGGGCGCGCCATATAGTGATCCCCTTCTTTGTTTTTCTCTTCTTCGCAAGGCACGCCCACTTGTTCTCCAAGGTCGGGGTTCGTGGCAATATCAGGTTTTAGAACACTTCTGGCTGAGACTGTCTTGTCCCAACACATCGGGCTCATGTTCTATTCTGGGAGCATGACTTTGGTTCTTAGATCATCTTTTGGGTTACAAGAACATGTCGTGGTAGGCCTATAGGAAGGGACGGTCGGTCCCTGCTCAGGGCGTCCGCGGAAGGCGGCCATACACCGCCAGCCTTGGCCAGTGCAGTCCTGGGCTCCAGGGGTGCGAAGGGGGTTAGGGTTGTGGAGGACGATCAATGGAGAGGAAGCATGCTGCCAAATAATGCCCAGATGCCTAAAGCATGTGTTCAACATGTTTTAAACATGTCTAGAACATGTTTCAAACGTTTTGAACACGTGTTTAACTCAATGTTCGGATTGTTAGGGTGTCCATTGTCATGGCGTCCACAAGGGTAGGGGGTCAACGTTTCGGGCTCGAGGTTCAGGTTTTCGGGCGTCTGCGTCGCTTCCCGGCTGCTCTTCAGCCTCGGGATGCTTTCCAGCGGTGGCGTCTCGACGAGGGCGTGCAGGGGTTGCCCGGGGATCGTCCCGAGCGGTCGAGTTATATTGCCCGAGACCACCACCACCACCACCACCACCACCACCACCACCACCACCACCACCACCACAGAGCCGAGAGTGCGCGCTTGGCAGCTTTACAAAAACGAAGCAGGCGGATAGCGGGCACCCAGAGACACGCCTGTGAAGCAGAAGCGACACAAGGAAGAAGGAAAGGGAAAGGAGGAGGAGGAGGAGGAGGAGAAGAAGAAGGGCGGGCCCAAGGCGCACCGCAGCTATACACGCTGAGGCAACTTGTGCACTTGACTGGCCCGAAACAGCCAGCGCTGTAAGTGAGGCTTCTCAGAGGAGGGCTCAGCCCTCGAGGCTTCGGGAGGAGTTGGCATCTCTTCATCGGCGGAGGGTTTCAGAGGGCTGCGGAGGGCGGCGGAAGTAAAACGAGGGCAGCTCCGCCAGCGGAAGGCCAGCGGCAGCTGGCGGAAGTGGAACATTGGCCTCCCAAGAGATGGCAAGGCTTTTTGGTTCAGGGTTTCCAGGGTTGTCGATGCCACACTGGCGAACGCTGAATGCACCAACGTGGGAGTGAGGGCGCGCAAGCGCCCAGCGCTCTCCCCAAGTGAGTGCCATGTAAAAAATCTGGGCACAGCAGCGGGCAATACCCAGACCCCTCGGGTCATGGCAAGATCGCGGCGGGCTGTCATGGACGGTCTTCAGGCCCTGTGGGGGCCCTTGCTGGGCGCCGGGGCCGTCAAGAAACGATTTGGGATGAGAAATCGATCCTAGAGATCACCGCGGGGGGTGCTACCACGCGCAGAGTGGGGTGGGGGGAGGGGGGAGGGCTTCTTTGAAGCACCCCTGCTTCTTAGCAGGCGCGGGCCTCATCTGCAGATGTAAGGCCGGCGCCTTCTAAGAAGGTGCCTTCTTCTAAGAAGCCCCCCCCCCTCCCCCAAACCCCTTGCGCCCGCCGCCAAATAAGGGGGTTACGAGTGGATGTTAAGGTGGGTTGTATCTGCTGGCTTACTAATGGCTTGCACGTGGCTTTGGAGTTTAGAGAACTCCACTTAGCGGACTTAGCCTGGATCTTTACCCGTCCTCAAGCGGTTTATGGCGTTTTTGGCCCACTAATAAGCCAGGCCAGTTCTGATATCTCATCCACCGTAGCGTCCGTTGGTAACCCACAATCCCCTTTAGCAGCCCCCGCGCCGATCTCAGTGGGGCAATCTTGAGCCCCAGGATGCTGTATAGACCTGCTCGAGGCTACATGGGCAAAAACACCAGCCTCCTGGGCCCTGGCCTAGAATGGAGATGGTGCGCAGCTGCCTTCAGCGGAAGGTCGTAGAACACCCGCATTTTAAAATCTCGGGGGTGGACAGAAACCCCACCCTGACGCGTCGATTAGTGAACTGTCCGCTTCCGGTTCTCGAGAAGGCGCCGTGGCAGTCATTTTCCAAGCTTGCGCCCACCAGGTTTGGGCCCAAGGTCGTTTTCACTAAACCACGTTTTGCTAAAGGGGGTTCTGTCCATCCCCGAGAATCACTACCCCAGTCTTCTGAGCGTCGGCGTCGAAAGCCTACTGCAAGTTCTCCTGGCCAACGTCGTCGACAACGCTGGAGCCCTCGGCGGCTCTCAGCGCCCCACGCCCACAGTCTGGAAGGCTTCTGTGGGCAAAGTTCCGTAGCGTGAGCGCGAGTAGTCTGGACCGCGAGGTAATCTTTCTCGAAGATTCCGCACTACCGTTGAGGGGGCATGTTTGCAGTAAGCGTTCGGGAGCTACCTCGCACGGACCCCCTCCGCCCCCTTGCTTCCATATTGAACAAGCGTTCCCGCAGAAGCGGGGCTGGGAAAAGTCTAAACACTTGCATCCAACATCTCCAACGTAACACTTCACACTTGCAAATGTTCAGGCTGGGGGGGGAGGGGGGGGATTTTGTTTGTTTCTGGCCTAGACGCTTCGCCTCGGCAGGCGGTGGATATGGACATATTCGGGCCCCCGGGGGCCGAACTGTATCCATATCCACCGCCCGCTAGGGCACCAGGACGTCGGTTCCAAGGCGGTGGATATGGATGACCCCCCGCCTCGCATCCAGATGTTCGACGTGGGAACCTGGAGATCCGAATCGTCCTTCCCCGATCAGCGCTTGCGCTAAAGGGGTCCTAGCGGAAGCTGAAAGATCTGGCGAAAGTCTCCTGCCGATTCTGGTAACGGGCTGGGTTCCCGGACTCCCGGCTCCGGTACGGTATCCCGGGTTCCCGGGTATTGTTTCCTGCCCGATTAATCGGTGGGTTCTGGGTCCCCGGCCTCCCGGGTGCCCGGTCGAGCTCGTCAGCGAAACCATCCATTGATTGGGTTTTTTCTTTGATACATATATATATATATATATGCATGTATATACATATATGTATGTAGTGTATGTATATGTGTACATAGTTTGCTTTTCCCAGGCCGGGCACCCAGACGTCCCGACCCTTGCCCTGGGGTCGGTTTCTCCGCCCGAGTCGCTCTGCTGCCAGCCACAGAGCCCCCGCAGGAGTCCGGACACGGTGAAGGACTCAATGCCTCTTCCGCTCTGGTCTTTTCCTGTTGCTCTCGATGCGTGGAGGGCCTCAGTGATCCAGCAGCGTACGTTCCAGCTTCCTGGTGCGCTCGGCCCCGCGGAGAAGTGCCCCTTCGCCCGAGTGACCGTCGGTGCGCGGATTCTTGCGGGGCGCCCGGGGGGGGGGAGGGCCAAACCCAAGCGTGCAGGCCGCTGCTGTCGCTCAGGCAGTGGCGAAGCGTCCTGGCTCGCCTATGGGCCCACCAGAGAATGTTCTAAGAACCTTTGTGTCTTGCACGAAATGTTCTCAGAACATTTCTGGCTGAAACCGTTTTGTTTTAGCACATCGGGTTTATGTCCTAAGAACATCTTTGTTGTTCTTAGGACAGTCTGGGGTTCTAAGAGCATGTCGTGGTAGGCCTATAGGAGTACCGGGACGGTCGGTCCCTGCTTAACTCGGATGGCACGCCACGGCCGGCAAGTCGCAAACCAGAGGCCGCCTGTTGCCTACACGGTCACTTTATTGCGAGCAGCGGACACGCTTCTTTGTTGCTTTGGCTCGTGGCCTCTGCCCGCGGCCGAGGAGGTCCCTTGCGTCGCCACACACCTACTGGTACCAGATTCAGTATGGCGGTTCCCTCTACAGGAGGAGTATATTCAAAAATGGTAAGAAGCAAAATGGTCTGGGGACGATGTTTCAATTGTTATTGGACTATTGTTTTTTATGTTTCTGTCGAAATCCGCCTGTAAGAGGACGTGCCCGACCGAAGACTAGATGTGCGTCGGCCCCAAGGGGGCGATGCACGCGCTCTCAGAGGTCTGTAGGGGGCCATGCCCGACCTAATACCGGTGCGGTAGCTTCGCGCCGTGTCGACCAGTGGCGGCCCCGCCGCCAGCGCTCAGCGTCGAACGCCGCTGGCGACCCAGCATCGGTCGAGAGGTGCAACGATCTGACGCTTCGAGCGCGTTTTTGATATTCGGCGGTAATGGGCATTTCTTTGGGGGGGGGCCAGGGGGGGTATAATGTAACGCCTCACCCCCGCCGTGCGCACGGCGGCAGTGCCCGGAGCGCACTGGGGGGGAGGGACGTTACGTCATAGGGCGGGGGGGGGGAGGGGGGGCCAGAGGCTATAATGCGCATTATGCCCCAAGCAACACAGAAACACGCTCCTCGGAAACGGCCGATCGTTCAAGGTTGAAGGATCCCCGTGGTCTCAGGAGGAGCCAACGCTGCTGTCGACACGACACAGCACCGCGGTATCTCGCTGGCCTTCGACGCACCGGCCCCGGCCACGGCCACGGCCAAGGAGGGCCGGGCACCACTTGAGGGCCCGTGGCCCGGCGCTTCTGGCGAGCGGAGGTGCCCGCCGGGGGGGGGGGGTCGCCCGTGGGCCCCGCGTCGGCCGCCAGCGGCGTGCAGCGCTTGGCCCCCCGGCCCCTGGTGGGAGTGTGGGGTGCTCACCGGAGGGCCTCGGCTTCGAGGAGCCGTGCAGTTGCCGTCGCTCTCTCGGCGGCAGGCGGCGGGAGGCTGGCGGAGGGCGGCGGAGGGCTGGCGGGTCGGCACGGCACGAGCCTGCCGTATACGTCCTGCCCAGATCCCCGACGTCATCATGCTTGCCTGACGCGCCCCCCATGAGGTCCGGACCCATTCCCCCGGGACTGGTCTTTCATCCTGAGTCGTTCTTGACGGGCCCGAGGCCCGGAGAGGGCCCCCAGAGGCCGAACATAGTGAAAAACCTCCCGTCGTGAGTTCTTCAAAGCGCGAGGGGGTCTGAGAGTTCTGTTCCCCAGAGGACCCCCCCTCGGTGCTCCCCGCCCTCTGCGACGAGTGGCAGCGCTTCGAGGCCCTCGGTCGGGTGCCGCTCCGCTGGCGCCCGCCGTGACGTGAGGCCCCGCGGTCCCCCGGGGCGCGCGGCGCGGCGAGAAAAGCACGGGGGAGGGTCGAGGAGGGGGAGGGTCGAGGAGGGGGAGGAGGAGGAGGAGGAGGAGGAGGAGGAGGAGGAGGAGGAGGAGTAGGTTGAGGATGAGATGAGTGGTTGTTCAGATCGCTGTGGACGTCTCATATTAGGTTGCAGCATTTCCGTGTTGTCAGACGACAGCGCAGACCTCAAATATATACACAAACACGGGGCCACGACACTTTTTCATTTACATATACACATACAAGCGTTTCGCGGCGAGCACCTGCAAACTAATACAACAACAGGTGGGCTCAAGCTGAACACGGTATGCAGGCGCTCCCCTGCAACCAACAATAGTACTTATTTGTTCGAGCATTAAAACTTGCACACGCAATATTTTTTATTGTATTGTATGAGGAAGAGTGCAGCAACTATATGAGGCAGAAGCAGCAGGCCGCGGCAGCAGGCAGCAGGCAGCAATAGTCAGCAGGCAGCAGCCGCAGGCAACAGCAGGCAACACCGGCCAGGACAGCGGAGGAGAGGAGAGGAAGAGGAAAGGGAGTGGAGGGCTGCACCGACACAGAGGACATGGAAATGTTGTCCAATCTCCCATCTCCTGGAGAGAAGTCGCAAACGCTGTGAAAGTGTACTACAAGCTTGTAAAAAACGGTCCAGAACAATAAACTTTGATCGTTGGCCCGTTCTCCAGCCCATCTTTTTTGCAGTTCCTTCTGCCGACTCCTGCTTAGCTGCAGGCGAGCAGAGGACCATGTGAGCACAGCGTTGCTAGACATACCTGCGAACTGTTTAAACAACAACGAACTGGGACGCTGTTAAACAAAACCGTATCCGCAAACTGATGCTGAAGACGTTTAAACCACTGATCGTGGCGCAGCCTTGGAAACGATCAGGACACGGCATTCGACAACTATGAAGGATTGTTTTTGAGGCGAGCGTTGCAAACCATAGAAACGACGCCCAGCGCGTTTTCAACAACCACTAAGAGGATGAAGACTAGAAGCTGAGAAGGATCGAGGATGAGGGAGGAGTGATGATCATTATGATGATCATGATGATGATGGTTATGATGATGATGCTCATGATGATGATGATGATGATGATGATGATGATGATGATGATGATGCTGATGCTGATGCTGATGCTGATGCTGATGATGATGATGATGATGATGATGATGGTGGTGGTGGTGGTGATGATGATGATGATGCTCATGATCGTGATCATGATGATAATGATGATGATACGGAGGAGGAGGGGGAGGAGGAGGGGGAGGAGGAAGAGGAGGAGGAGGTCAGGGGCAGCAGGAGGTTCACGTTTGCAAACTGGGGGGACGCGAGGAGGAGCAGCAGCAGCAGGCGGAGCAGGAAAGGAGTGATGATGATGATGAGGAGGAGGAGGAGGAGGAGGAGGAGGAGGAAGAGGAGGAGGAGGAGGAGGAGGAGGACGAGCAGGAAGAGGAGGAGGACAAGGTGGAGGAGGAGAGGAGAAGGAGGAGGAGGAGGGGGAGGAGGAGGATGAGGAGGAGGAGGAGGACGAGGAGGAGGAGCAGGAGGACCTGTGGCAGAGCACTGCAGCAGTACAGGCTGCAGTGGGCTGGTGGAGGCCAGGGGCAAGGACAGGGCGGCGGAGGTGGCCCGGGAGGGGCAGCCTCGACCTTCCCCCCGCGGCCCAGGGCCTGGCCGCGGCCCGCTGGCCGTCGCCGTCGTCGGGCGTCGTCGGGCTTCGTCGGGCGTCGTCGTCGTCTTCGTCGTCGTGCGTCGTCGTCGTGGTCGTCGTCGTCGTCGTCGTCGTGGCCCGCTCGGCGCCACCCGGGGCCTGGAAGCCCAGACCTGCCCAGGAGGGTGCGGCTTCGCGGTCCGGGGCCTACATCGCTGGTCCATGGGCGTACGCGTCGCCGATCCCAAGTCAATGCTCCCCTTTCTTGCTCCCCCTCATGAGGAGGGTCGATGGGGGATACGGGACCCGAACTCCACAACAACAACAGCAACAACAGCAACAACAGCAACGACAACAGTAACAACAACAACTGCAACAACATCATCAACAACAACAGCAACAGCAGTCACAACAACAGCAGCAGGAACAACAATAACAGCAACATCAACAACAGCAACAACAGCAGCATCAACGACAACAATATCAACAATAACACCAACAGCAGCATCAGCAACAACAGCACCAGCAACAGCAACAGCACCAGCAACAGCAACAGCAGCAGCAGCACCAACAGCACCAGTAACAGCAACGACAGCAGCAGCAGCACCACCAACAACAGCAACACCAACAGCAGCAACAGCAGCAGCAACAACAACAATTGCATAGACGTGTCCTTTCGGACCTGCGCGCGGACTTCCCGGATCGGCACTGTGGCGCGCCCCGCGCGCCAGGGAGGGGGTGCCTCCGCCTGCTCCTCGACCCTCGTGCGGATGGCTTCGCGCGTGCACGGTTTCCCGTCTGCACCCGAGGGCTCCTCAGGCGCAGATGCTCCCAGACGCTGAGCCCACCGAGCGCGCGCGAAGAGGGCTCGAGAACCACCGTCGCCGCTGCACGTTCCCCTGGACCTTGCAGCGGCGATGGTTCTCGAGACCGACAGTGCGGTCATGCTGGTGCCTCAGAGCACAAAACTTTAATGGGTGTTTTGAAGGGGCGTCGATTTTCGCCCCAGAGATCCCCGAGGCGAGAGGGGGGCCGGAGCCAGGTGGAGCTGGCCTGGGACTTCCCGCACAAGGAGGCGGACCCGTAGAGCGGTGCTCTGCGCGGCGGCGAGCGAGGGGGGGAAGTGAGAAGGAGAAGGCCCTCTCAGAAGGCGGCGGGGCTTCTCATAAGCCCACCAGCCTTCTGATAAGTTTTCTGTGTCTCTGGGGAAGGCTTAAACAACTTTTCATAAGGCTGGGGAACTTCCGAACCTTCTGATAAGGCCCGCCCCTTCTCATTCCCCCCTGGGCGCGCCGCCAATCTGCGAGGACAGATGGTTCTCAGGGCGTCTGTTAGTCCAGCTGTGTTTGTCCCGCTAAGTTCCGCTGATACCACGCAGCCTGTTTCGGCATTCGTTCCACCGGCTGCATCATATCGAAGGGATTAGGTGGACAAGCACAGACTTGCGCTGAAACGCGTTCTGAGGCTCATCGGCAGGAGTGAAAGGACGAACCGTTGTGAGACGAGACAGTGAGGTGTGAACAGGTTCGTGCCGCGTCAACGCGGCGGCGACCCCAGCGCGGGCGCTTCAAGGTTCAACGACGAAAGTGGCCCAGAATCGCTTATCGGAAAGCAGCGATCACGCGGGGATGAACAACCCACGCGATGTCAGAAACAGACGCCAAGGTCATCGCGACGTGAGTTTGTTGTTCGCAGGGCGTTCCAGAAAGGGCTTTGCTGTCGAGAAGCTGATCATTCTTCTTCTGCGGACGCCGGTGGAAGGCAACCCTGCGAAAGTTGAAGATGCCTCTCAGAACAGACGCAAGCCTTGTTTGGAGTCACGCATCCTGGAGCGGGCCACGTGATGACGATATTAACCAATCAGGCTACATCCCTGCCTGTGCTTTCGAAAGTCTGTCCCTCTATTTGGCGATTAGCGCTGGACGACCGTGGGCCTCTTGCCAGCAATCAAGGGACAGCATAGTGTGGACGGCCCAAGGAACTTACGGTACCGTGGAGCTGTCCATGGAACGCTCCACAAAAGGCCTCGACTGCGAGGAATTGATTCGATTGAGACCTTGCCCTCGGGTGAGGCTGGCGCAGTACTGGAGGCCTCGAACACCGAATACCGTTATGTTCCCCTACGGATTCCACGGTGCGGCCAAGTGTTGCAAGCAAGATCAGCCATTTTCATGATCCCACCGTGAATAATTATGCGTTGTGCGAGAGGCTCGTGCTTCCAGCTGCCGTCTTCGTTTTTTGCAGGCAGTCTCTCTCTCTCTCTCTCTCTCTCGCTCGCTGTCACACATACCTGGTGAACGTCGTCCCATTCCGCCACCGGGCGGCCTAGGTTGTAGGTCAAGGACCTGTTGGGTGCCTCTGGTGATCTCTCGGGAGGCCTCTCGGGAGCCTCATTGGGCGTTTTGGGGGCCGTTCGGGGGCGTCTTCTGGGCCTCTCGGGAGGGCTTCTCGGGGGCCTGCTGGCGGTCTCGGAGGTCGTCTTGGGGCGAATGGCTCGAAATGTCGGTTCGTGTTCCCCTTCTGGGGCTTCCCTTGGGCCATCTTGGGCCGTCTCGGGGCCTTCTTGAGCCGTCTTGTTGGCCTTTTAGGCCGTCTTGGGGCCCTCTTGGGCCGTTTGGTTTGTTTGGGGGCTATTTTGGGGGTTCTGCTTGGGTCGTAAGCTCAAACAGGCGAGAACGCTACAATCCCTCAAGGAGTTTGGCCTACCGGGGCCCTCATGGAAGTGCTCGTTGAGCCCTGCTGGGGCGCCTCGTGGGCCGTCTGGAGAATGGGGGCGAAGGGCTGCAGTGACTTGGTGACACGCCAATTTGTACCTCAGTGCATGGTGGTGGATGTATACCGATGTTAGCCAGCGTGGATCCCCTCCAATGTGCTTCTAGCGATATGTGTGGTGCAATCTATGTGGTGCAGCCCACTTGCCGAACTTGAAGTTGTCAACTCCACTGCTCGCGCAATCATCCCACCCACCCACCCGCAACTTGGTTTGCAAAACCCATGCGGGACCGAGCACAGATATCGCTCCGGGGTCGTCTTGGAGCCCTCGGGGGCGTCTCAAGAGCGCCCCAAGAAGGCCGGAGAAGCACGACGGCCGACGACGACGACGACGACGACGCCAAAGAGGACGACGACGACGACGCCGACGTCGACGACGACGAAGACGACGACGCCGACGCCGACGACGACGACGAAGACGACGACGACGTCGCCAACGAAGACGACGACGAGGGAGGAGGGAGGACGACGACGGCGACAACGACGACAACGAGGGAGGAGGGAGGCAGGCGACGACGCGAACGACGAAGAAGGAGGAGGAAGAACGGCGACGCCGACGACGACAACGACGAGGGAGGAGGGAAGACGACGAGACGACGACGACAACGACGACGACGACGGCGACGAAATAGGAGGGACCACGACGAGACGCCAACGACGGACGACGACGACGACGAGGGAGGAGGAGGAAGGACGACCACGGCGACAACGACGACGGAAACGACCACGACGCCAAAGAGGACGACGACGACGACGAACACGAGGAAAGACACAGGACGACGTAGGCGATGATAACGACGACGACGCGGGAGGAGGGAGGACGGCGACGACGACGACGACGACGCCGCAAGAGCGCGCGCGCACGCTTTTGCTGAAAATCCGTGTTGCGAAACCTTGTGTTTTGTAGGTTATTTGGACGCGCGATTTTGAAATCCTTCCGAAACCGATGGGTTTTGAAGGATTTCGGCGTACGCGCGCGACGACGCGCGCGTCTGCACTTCGTTCTATTTTTTGCAGAGGATTCTCGCGACGGCACACGCGCAAGGGCGTTCGACAGACTTCGACATGCGCGCGCGACGCCCGTTTGGTAACATGTTGTGAAAATATTGAAAAACCATGGTTTTCTCAAGATGTCGCAAGAGTTCGCGCGTAAGTTTTTTAAGCAAATCAGTGTTGCGAAACCCAGTGTTTTTGCATGTTTTTTTTGGAAGATTGTTAACTCCTTCCGGCACCAAAGGTTTTTGAAGGATTTCGGCATGCGCTCGCGACGACGCGCGCGTGTGCACTTCGTCGCATTTGTTTGCAAGGGAGTCGCGAAAAAGTGCTATGTTAGAGCAACAAATGTCACCGCATAGTATTTTTTTACCTAACAGCGAAGACTGAAAGGTTTCTAGTAGGGTGAAAAGAGAGCATCATGACGCCCCAGGGGGGTCTGGGCGCGATCAAGTGCCGGGGATTTTTTTGCCAACAGTTACACACTTCGTGGTCTTCGAGGTCCCAGAACTCAATTCCCGGCCCACATTCTGAATGCCCGGAGCCAATTGTAGGCCAATTCGTGGTCTTCGAGTTCCCAGAACTCCATTCCTGGGCCACATTTTGAATGCCCAGAGCCAACTGTAGGCCACTTCGTGCACTTCGAGTTCCCAGAACTCCATTCCCGGGCCACATTTTGAACGCCCGGAGCCAACTGTAGGCCACTTCGTGGTCTTCGAGTTCCCAGAATTCCATTCCTGGGCATGATTTTGAATGCCCGGAGCCAACTGTAGGCCACTTCGTCATGTTCTTCGAGTTCCCGGAACTCCATTCCTGGGCCACATTTTGAATGCTGAGGCAGACTGATGCTGAGGCTGAGGCAGGCTGAGGCTGAGGCAGGCTGAGGCTGAGGCGGAGGCTGAAGGCAGACTGAGGCTGAGGCTGAAGCAGGCTGAGGCTGAGGCAGGCAGGCTGAGGCTGAGGCTGAGGCTGATGCTGAGGCAGGCTGAGGCTGAGGCTGAGGCTGATGCAGGCTGAGGCTGAGGCAGGCTGAGGCTGAGGCCGAGGCTGAAGGCAGACTGAGGCTGAGGCTGAAGCAGGCTGAGGCTGAGGCTGAGGCTGAGGCAGGCTGAGGCTGAGGCTGAGGCAGGCTGATGCTGAGGCAGGCTGAGGCTGAGGCTGAGGCTGATGCAGGCTGAGGCTGAGGCTGAGGCCGAGGCTGAAGGCAGACTGAGGCTGAGGCTGAAGCAGGCTGAGGCTGAGGCTGAGGCAGGCTGAGGCTGAGGCTGAGGCTGAGGGCTGAGGCTGAGGCTGAGGCTGAGGCTGAGGCTGAGGCAGGCTGATGCTGAGGCAGGCTGAGGCTGAGGCTGAGGCTGATGCAGGCTGAGGCTGAGGCAGGCTGAGGCTGAGGCCGAGGCTGAAGGCAGACTGAGGCTGAGGCTGAAGCAGGAGGCTGAGGCTGAGGCTGAGGCAGGCTGAGGCTGAGGCTGAGGCAGGCTGATGCTGAGGCAGGCTGAGGCTGAGGCTGAGGCTGATGCAGGCTGAGGCTGAGGCAGGCGGAGGCTGAGGCCGAGGCTGAAGGCAGACTGATGCTGAGGCTGAAGCAGGCTGAGGCTGAGGCTGAGGCAGGCTGAGGCTGAGGCTGAGGCAGGCTGATGCTGAGGCAGGCTGAGGCTGAGGCTGATGCAGGCTCAGGCTGAGGCGAACGCAGACATTTTTGAAAACGGACGTTCCGCAACCATGTGTTTGTATATGGTTTTCGGTGCACTCGATTTTGAAACCCGTCCGAAACGCAGGTTTTCGTTAAGTAAGAAAGTATTCCGGCATGCGCGCGCGACGATGCGCGCGTGTGCACTTCGTCGAATTCGTTTGCAGGGGGTTCGTGCGACAGCACGCGCGCAAGGGCGTTCGAGCGATTCCGACATGCGCGCGCGATCGGCCTTTTTTGGTAGCTTCGCATGAGCCCGAGCGCAAGTTTTTGTTTGAACATTATTGTTGCGAAACCGTGCGTTTTGTTTATATGTTTTCGGGGCATTCGATGTTGAAATCCTAGTGGGCCTAAGGGTCTTGTGGGATTCCGGCACCCGCACGCGACGACGCGCGCGTCTCAGTTTCAGCAAGGTGTGCGCGCGACAGCAGCCTATGTGGTGCAATCTAGGTTGTGCAATCGATGTGATGCCGTCTACGGGGTACAACTTAGGTGGTGCAAGGTAGTTTGTGCTATTTATGTGGGCGATCTGCGTGGTGCAATTATGTGGTTCGATGTGTGGTTCGCAACTTGTGATGTAGATGTTGATGCAACCAATGCTGTGCAATCTTTGCTGTGCAAACTAAGTGCGAACGACGTTGTGCACTCTATGTGGTGCAATATTCGTTGTGCAAGCAGTGCGAAGCACTGCCAGCCAACGCAATGCAAAGCAATGCGAGCGCTGCAACGCAGTGCCCTGCAGCGTACCTCGCGGGTTAGCAATGCACGGGCGGCGGCGAAGCGGCGACGGGGCGGCGACGACGGTCACACAGCCGCCAGACCGAAGATATGGCCCAGACGACGGGCGGTGACGAGGCGGCGACGGGGCGGCGACGGTGGCCACATAACCGCCAGACCGAAGACACGGCCCAGCCCCCCAGAGCTGAAGTGAGAACCCTTACGTGCAAACAGTTTTGGGGAACATAGTTATATACATACACACACGTACTGGTATACATAGACGTACACACATGCATATACATATACACACATACGAGATTGCATTGGTGCTTCGCGCCATTCGCCAAGGTCGTTCAAGTTTCGCACGACAGCCATGAGAGATGGGGAGCGCGAAAGAGAGAGAGAGAGAGAGAAAGAGAGAGTGATAGAGAGAGAGAGATAGGGAGAAGGAGCGCATTATCATATGCAATTGATTGTTTGTCGACCTGTCCTCATGTTTTGCGGAGACCCTTACTTGAAAGTGTTTCTTGGGGGGGCACAGGTTTTGGGTTTTTTTTGGGGGGGGGCCTTGAGAACTCCTGAACATTTTGGGTGCCGCTGAGGGCTGTTCGGAGCCATCATGCTGCCCTTCGTGGTTTTCCTCAAAGACTAGGTTCGGATTTGGAGTGTTTCGGAGGGCGGTTTGGGGCCATCTTGGGCCGTCTTGGAGTTTTCTCTGCGCCATCTGGACCCTGTTGAGCTGTCTTGGGGCTCTCTTTGGCCGTCTTGACGCCTGTTTGGCAAGTCTTTGAGCAATCTTGGAGGCCTCCTGGCCGATCTTGGACGCCCAGAGCGCCGAAAAACCGAGCATTAGAAAAGTGTACAAACACATATAGAAATCATTGTTTTTCCACACCATCCTGTAATATTGGGTTGTCGTTTTGGAGAGACGGCGCCCCGCGTTCCTTCCTTCCTTCCTTCCTCCTTCCTAATCCCCCTTATTTTCCTCCTTGTCCTCCTCCTCCCACTCCCTGCCTCTGCCCCGCATGTCATGTCGACACGCGACTCACACGCTTTGTGGCCCCAGAGGGATCTCCACCGATGCCCCCAGACGCAGCGCCCGCACGTTTCGTGGCCCCATAGGGAGCTCCACCGAAGACCCCAGTCGCTGCGCTCGCGTGCTCCCGCCGCGCCCATGTCGGCACACCCCTCACACGCTTCGTGGCCCCATAGGGAGCTCCACCAGAGCCCCCAGTGGCTGCGCTCGCATGCGCCCGCCGCATCCCTGCCGGCACACCCCTCACACGTTTCAAGGCCCCATGAGGAGCTCCACCGAAGGCCCCGGTGGGCTGCGATTGCACACGGCCGCCGCACCGATGTCCCGATGTCGGCACACCCCTCACACGCTTTGTGGCCCCACAGGGAGCCGCCCCACCAAAGGTTCCAGTAGCTGAGCTCACATGCGCCCGCCGCACCCATGTCGGCACACCCCTCACAAGTTTCGTGGCCCCATAGGGAGCTCCCCCGAAGGTCCCAGTGTCTGCGCTCGCATGCGCCGGCCGCATCCATTTCGGTATACCCCTTGCACGTTTATCGAAGGCCCCTGTGGCTGCGCTCGCATGCGTTAGCCGCACCCCTGCCGGCACACTCCTCGCACTTCTTGTGGTCCCACAGGGAGCTCCAACGAAGGCCCCAGTGGCTGCGCTCGCATGCGCCCGCCGCACCCCTGCCAGTACACCCTTCACACGATCCGTGGCCCCAAGGAGAGCTCCACCGAAGGCCCCAGTGGCTGCGCTCGCATGCGCCCGCCGCACCCATTTCGGCACCCCCCTCACCCGTTTCGTGGCTCTGGCCCGAGTGGCTGCGCTCGCATACGCCCGCCGTATCCATTCTGGCACATTCCTCACACGATTCGTGGCCCCATAGGGAGCTCTGCCGAAGCCCCCAGTGGCTGCGCTCGCATGCGCCCGCCGCACCCATTTGGGCACACCCCTCACCCATTTCGTGGCCACATAGGGAGCTCCAACGAAGGCCTCAGTAGTTGCGCTCGTATGCGCCCGCCGCACCCATTCAGGCACAGCTCTTGCGCGTTTCTTGGCCCCAAAGGGGAGCTCTTCCGAAGGCCTCAGTGGCAGCGCTCGCATGCCCTCGCAGCACCCATTTCGGCACACACCCCACCCGTTTCGTGGCCCCACAGGGAGCTCCACACAAGGCCCCAGTGGCTGCGCTCGCATGCGCCCGCCACACCCCTGCCAGCACACCCTTCACACGCGTCGTGGCCCCATAGGGAGCTCCTCCGACGGCCCCAGTGGTTGCGTTCACATGCGCCCGCTGTGCCCATTTTGGCACACCCCTCGCACGTTTTGTGGCCCCACAGGGATCTCCATCGATGACAAGATTCATGTTCACAACTGCATATGATTGGGTCCTTCGCCACGCTAATTTGGGATTCGAGCGCCTCTTGGGCCGTCTTCGCGCGTATGGTGGGTGCATGGGGCCGCTGGGGGCTCTCGTGGGGCCGTTTGGGCGCCCTCCTGGCCGCTCTGGGCTCGCCGGCTCTGGAGTCCTGGGAGAGCCCCGATTTCAAGGGCGACAAGAATAGGGACCCAAAGAATATACACCACCACTCCCACCACCACCACCACCACGTCGATTCCTCTCTCATCTACCCTCCTCTTCCTCCCCTCTTTCCTGCGAGAGGGAGAGGGTGAGGGAGGTGGTAGTGGTGTACATTTTTGGGCCCCCCAAAAAGGCCAGTCCGGGGTCCCGTTTGGGCGGGGGTCGATCTCGGGGGGTGGGGGAGAGCTCCCGTTTCGGGTTTCGGGGGGTGGGAGGAATCCGGGTGGTCCCAGTTCGGGAGGCGAAGGCCGAGGGGCTCGGAACGGTCCCGTTTCGGGGGGGGGGGTCCAAGGACTCTGGACGTATGACTCGACGCAGGGATCCCCATAAGTACATCTCGTTCCCTGACACTTTTTTTCTGCTGTGAGCGTCTGGCTGTGAGTGTATGGGTGTGAATGTGAGTCCGAGCGGACGACTTCCTGCCCGTCGTAGCCCATCCCTGCTCTTCCTCCCTCCTGCCTTCTCCTTCCTGTTGCGGCTGGTGCTCTCCTTACATCAAGGTGAGTCATGAGCTCGGATTGGACATGAGTCGGAGGAGGGACAAAACGAGCTCCTCGTTCGAGCCATCCCCACACTCTTGCCGCGAACAGGCGAACCTGGCGGCTCAACGGGGGTGCTGGAACTAGCGCTACGCCTGAGACATCCTCACAATCTGCCCTGAAAGCAGTGGAGATTGAGCCACCAAGTGAGCGAATCGCTCGAGGCATCCCCACGATGTGGTCGCTGGCAGCTCCATCGCGGGGTGCTGAAGCGCACGCCCCGCCGGAGACGTCCTCAGAAGCTGCCCTGAAGGCAAGTGAGCATGTGCAGCCAAGCAGGCCAACCGCGGGAGACATCCCCACAATCTGGGTCCCTCCGGGTGCTGAAGCCAGCGCCGCACCCGAGATATCTTCACTCTGCTTTGGAAGCAGAGTTAAGTCTGGCCTGTACCTCTACAGAGGGAATGTTCAAACATAGTTTTAAAAAATAGTCTGGGAACTTTTCTGGAGTATTTTTTGACCATTCTGGAGTACTGTTTGAATCTTTTTTCAGTTTTCGTCGAAGATCCCCCTGCAGGGGGACACGCCCTACTCAAAACAGCAGAGCAGAGTCCAGGCAACCACGCAGGCCAGCCGCTGGAGACCTCCCCACAGGCAGGGCGCGAACGGGCCCGCGCCAGCACCCCCGCGGCTCTCCCCTGGGCGTGTGCCGGGGCCCGCGCCTCGCTCGCGGCGTCCTCGCGCCGTCTGGTCTGGAAAAGCAGGGGCAGAGGAGTCCAGGCAGGCAGGCAGGCCAGCCGCCCGAGACGTGTCCCCACAGTCCGGGCGCGAGCGGTCCCGTGCAGCCACCCTGGCGGCTCCACCCGTGGGAGTGCTGGAGCCAGCGCCTGGCTCGAGGCATCCTCGCACTCTGCTCGGAAGGCGGGGAGGTCCAAGCAACCACGCAGGTCAAGCGCCTGAGGCGTCTCCCCCAATCAGGGCGCGAACGGATCCGTGCAACCACCCTGGCGGTTCCCCCCGTTTGGAGTGCTCAAACTAATGCCTTGCTCGAGACATCATCCCAATATGCTACGCAATCGCCACCTAGTGTTGGGGAGATGATTATGAGTATGAGTCTGGGTCGCGTGAGCTGAGTACGAATTAGCTTAGGTGCGAGCGAGTCTAAGTATGAACGGACCTGAGTGGGAGTGAGTCTGAGTGTGAGTGAGTCGGAGTCTGAGCGAGTCTGAGTGCGAATGAGTCGGAGCGCTTGTGAGGTCACGTCTGAGTTATAAGCCGATTGTGAGCGCATCGGAGTGTGAGTGAGCCTGCAGCGATCGAGCCTCAGTGCGTATCTTCTGGGTAAGAGAACCCCCTATATGATTGAGCCTATGCTGATGAGTAGATCTAGGTGAGTGAGGAAACGGAGGACGAGGGAGGGAGATGGGGGAAGAAGTGGGGCGTCGGAGGCGTCCGAGTAATAACCCGAAGCCCATCTTGGTATACGGGATTGGGGGTGGATGCGTCTATAGACAAGGTGGCAGTTGCGCTCGGCGCAGTGCAAGGTCGGAGAAAGGGTAGATCCGTCTACTGTATGCTCCTGCTCTCGAGCAGGTCCCACCTGATACGCCAAGACCGGCCCCCTCCCAGGTCGCGATCCTGGATTTCTGGATGAGCGCCGGCTCGAGCGAGTCGAACGCCTTCCTAAGCCGCTTCAGGCGCCAAGGGCCCCCCCGAGCTTGCTCTCGAGCCGCCTGGCCGATTAGGGGTCTCGCTCCGTGTCGGCCGCGTGCTGCGTTCCTCCCATGCGCCTTCATCTCTCCCAGGGACCGTTCTCGCTGTTTCGATGTTCCCCGCGCCGCCGGTTTTCAGCACAAGGTTTTCTCGACAAAACGTCGAAACGTGGAGGAAGATGAGGAGGATGAAGAATACGGCTACCAGTGTCTTCAGCTGTTTGCCTCTTCTGTCCCTCGGGCGTCCAGATAGAGCCAAGAGAGCAATAGACTCCCAACGGAGCCGTTTGCCTTCTGGATCCTGACCCTCCCGCCACGCACACCAGGTCTACGCACTGGGCGTGGAGCACACACATGACCGCTGGGCTTTACACCCGGATCCGTTTCACGTCAGTCGCTTCCTCGATGTTTTTGGACGGGTGCGATTCGGTACGTACATTGGAGTGTCAGCCACTGCTGCTACTTCAACGATGAGCATTGGCTGTGTACTCCTCTGGTCCTCTTGAGGTATTCTTGAGTTGCCCCGCTGCGCCCTGCGTCGTCTGTGTGTAGATCTTGAAGGTGGTCGAGAGAGCGCCGTCTGAGCTGAAGCATTAGCATGTGCGTTTGTATGTGTTGCAGAGGCACACCACGGACCCCACGACTATTTCAGGCTGCGGCGAACACGTCTTCGCTAAAATCAGATCTTCTTGGCATTCCCAAGGCAAGCAACCCGCTCGCGCTCCGCAGGGGCTGCGAAGGAAGAGGGTATGCATGCCTGTATGCGCGTTTCTGTTTGCAAGCTCTCATCACCTTGCAAGGTTCGCAGCAGAGACGCTGAAGTACCACCTGCAGGATACCATATCTGTTGCTGACCATATCTGCACCCTTGCCCTATCCTGTGTTGCTGCTGCCATCTTACCTCCATCCTGCTCACCGTCCTGTTCGCCCTGCTCCTCCTGTTCGCTCCCCTCCTCGTGCTCCTCCACTGTCCTGCTTGTTCTTCTCGACCCTCTCGCCACCCTCCGCATTTCCTTCCTCGTCCCCCCCCTCCTCCTCTCCATACCCCACGTTTATCCCTTCGTCTGTCTCCTCGTCTCCCCTCTCGACTGTCTCTCTCTCTCTCTATATATCATTGTCTCCGCCCCCCTCCCTGCGCCTCCGCCTTCCATTTTCGTCGTCGGTCGTCGTCATCGTCGACGTCCTCCCCCCCTCCTCGTCTTCTTCCTCCTCCTCCTCCTCCTCCTCCTTCTCCTCCCTCCTCCTCCTCCTCCTCCTCCTCCTTCCTCCTTCCTCCTCCTCCTCCTCCTCCTCCTTCGTCGTCGATCGTCGTCATCGTCGACGTCCTCCGCCCTCCACCTCGTCTTCGTCCTCCTCTTCCTCCTCCCCATCAGTGCTGTAGGCCCCTTGCACTCGCTGGGTGTGGCGAGGGTTATATCCTCGTGGGCGGCCCAGACCACAGAACAAAACCCACCTCCGATTGCGCAGCATGGATCCTCTTCGTTCTACAGAAGAACAGACTCGACCACCCTCCCGAGCCTGGACTGACCGCTTCCCCATTGGACAGTACAATTTGTATTCCGGACTCTGCTTCGTTGTTCATCTTCCATGTGAAATCATACACTCCCAGGCGAGCTGTCCTCGAACCCTCTCATCCGGTTCAACTGATACCACCGGCGCACGCTCGCTATCCCAACACACGCATACACACATTATATGGCATTCGTCCCTTGCACAAGATATTACCAAGTCCACGCGCGCACATGTCGAAACCATGCCAAACATGCAAATCTGAAAACCCGTGGGCTTCTAGAGAACTAGTGCCGTTTTTCTGCCCGCTGACTTCTTGAGTGTCTGCGCGTGCATGTCCTCATCAACCTTACCAGCGCCATCGCATCACTACTGTTATCGTAACTGCCAATCGCAGGAATTGGTGACATTATCACAAGCACCTTCATCACCGACACGTCGAACTCATCATCGTCATCGTCGTCACCATTTTCGACGCCGTCATTGACCTTGCCGTCGTCATCGTCATCGTCATCATCGCCACCACCATCGCCATTATCAGCATCGCTGCCGACGCTGTCGACGTCATCCTGATATCGCGGCCGCCCGAGCCACTGATCCGCAGTGAAGCGCCCGCGTGCCAGCGCGTCCTTTGAGACGCGCTGGGGGGTTCCCTCGGGCAGCGCCACCGCGTCCGTATCAGTTGTGCCGAATCAGCTGGTCGCACTGCGCGCTCGCCAGCGCTCGCCAGTGCGGCCGGGAAGCCGCGCAAGCAAATGCCAACTGGGAACTGCAATCGTGGCCGAACGGGTTTTGCCAAGCGCGTTGCGGGCGGGTGGGACGTTTGCGCGAGCAGAGGGGCTCACGATTACAGCACGGCGCAGTCTATTCTCCTTTCTAAAAAGAGAATAGACTCTACCCCCCCCCGGCGTTATCTCTCCCCCCGCGTCCTATGTAAATCACTGATGATTCTGACCACATGTCCATCTTAAATATGAAGTCACAATGTCCCAGGACAACCGGTTTCCCCCCCCCTGAGGTTCCCTTGTGAAAACAATATGAGGTGGCATTGTTTGTTCTTACATAACACTTTGTCACGAATCCCTTGCAACAAATGAGACGAAGTGCACGCGCGCGTCGTCGCACACGCGCGCGTCGTCGCGCGCGCATGCCGGAATCCTTGAAAAACCTCCGGTGTCGGAAGAAATTCGCAATCGAGTTTCAAAAAAACATACAAAAACAGAGGGTTTCGCAACACTGAATTGCTAGACAAGCTTACGCGCGAGCTCTTGCGAAATCTGAAGAAAACCATGGTTTTCAAGATATAACACAACATGCTACCAAACGGGCTTCGCGCGCGCGCATGTCGAAATCTGTCGAACGCCCTTGCGCGTGTGCCGTCGCGAGAATCCTCCGCAAAAACTGGGACGAAGTGCAGACGCGCGCGTCGTCGCGCGTGTATGCCGAAATCCTTCAAAACCCATAAGTTTCGAAAGGATTTCAAAATCGCGTGCCCAAAAAACCTACAAAAACACAAGTTTTCGCAACACGGATTTTCAACAATAGCGTGCGCGCGCTCTTGCGTCGTCGTCGTCGTCGTCGTCGCCGCCCTCCCTCCTCCCGCGTCGTCGTCGTCGTCGTCGCCTACGTCGTCCTCTGTCTTTCCTCGTGTTCGTCGTCGTCGTCCTCTTTGGCGTCGTGGTGGTTTTCGTCGTCGTTGTCGCCGTGGTCGTCCTTCCTCCCCCTCCCTCGTCGTCGTCGTCCGTCGTCGGCGTCTCGTCGTCGTCCCTCCTATTTCGTCGCCGTCGTCGTCGTCGTCGTCGTTGTCGTCGTCGTCTTCCCTCCTCCCTCGTCGATGTCGTCGTCGGCGTCGCCGTCCTTCCTCCTTCTTCGTCGTTCGCGTCGTCGCCGTCCTCCCTCCTCCCTCGTCGTTGTCGCCGTCATCGTCGTTGTCGCCGTCGTCGTCCTCCCTCCTCCATCGTCGTCGTCTTCGTTGGCGACGTCGTCGTCGTCTTCGTCGTCGTCGGCGTCGGCGTTGTCGTCGTCCTGGTCGTCGTCGACGTCGGCGTCGTCGTCGTCGCCGTCGTCGTCGTCGTCGGCGTCGTTGACGTCGTCGTCTTCGGTGTCGTCGTTGTCGTCGTCGTCGGCGGCGTCGTCGTCGTCGTCGTTGTCATCGTCGTCGTCGTCGTCGGCGTCGGCGTCGGCGTCGTCGTCGTCGTCGGTGTCGTCGTCGTCGTCGTTGTCGTCATTGTCGGCGTCGTCGAAGTCGTTGGAGACGTCGTCGGTGTCGTAGTCGTTGTCGGCGGTGTCGTCGTCGTCGTTGTCGTTGTCGGCGTCGCTGTCGTTGCCAAGTGCCATTTGGTACCACCGTCACGGTCTTAAGAGATTTGCAAACCAAGCTGTGGGTGGGTGGGTGGGATGTTTGCGCGAGCAGTGGAGTGGACAACTCACTGCGAACAGAAATTGGTTGCACCACATAGCTCATACGACACAGCTTACCCCACTGTGCTTCCGCCACACAGCTTGCACTATCTTGCGCCTCAGAGCTACCACCACAGTCCTTACATTCCATAGTTTGTAGTCGCCTGTCTACTGGATTTGGATCTCGACGCTCGTGCCCTGGCTGCGGCTGCCGCAGCAGCGGCACACAGCAGTGCGTAAGAGGGGTGAACGAGAAGACTCGGCCGAGGAAGGGCAGCAGTACCAGTAACAACAGCTTATACCACATAGCTTGCACCACCTAGCGTGCACAAGATAGAGTGCACCACATACCTTGTACATCCACCGTTCAACAACTCGCTGTGAGGGGTTCGCTCAGGCAAGAATGTGTACGCTTATCTGCGGCTCCCTGCCTTCTCTGCTGCTTCTCTCTACACCTGCCTATCAATTTCCCGGGCTGTTGCCCCCAGTTCGTGCCCCACTACCACATCTTCGAGCTCCCCGAGGGAACGGACGACCGAGGCTTGTGCGTCCCGCACACCAAGTCAAGGCGACCACGGCGGGGAGGGCCATCTTCACTCCCATCCCTTCCCCCTTTGCCCTTCCCCGCCTCTCCCCCCGTGGGCTTGCTCCTCCCGACACCCTCCGCTGCCTCTTCCCTTATTCATTGCCCTTTCCTCCTCTGCAACACCCTGGAACAGCGGCGGAACCTGGCAGGAACCAACACCGAGAGCGCCTCCGAAGGCGGAGGGGTGTCGGAACGCCGACGGAAGCCGGCGCGAGCAAAAGCTGCCCTCCACCCCCCCTGGAGATGACATTTCGAAGGTCAGTGTCTGACGGATGTCGCCCCGCGCGAAGGTCCATTACGTTGCATCTTCGGGGGGGCCTCGCCTGTCCCCCAAACTGGCGTCTTTTCTTGGGCCCGACGCGGATTTTGCGCGGATCCAGACGTGGAATCGACATAGATTCGACACGGATTCGACGAGACCGACGTGCATTCGACATGGATTCGACGCGGATAGGGCCGCGACGGGACATGCCACGTCCCCCGAGGATGCAACTCAAGATCCAAGTCTCGCGGTCCTCACGCCCAGCGCGTTCGGGCAGAGGCCGCAGCCGAAGCTTTTTGGGGCCTTGCCCACAGCACGGTGGCACAGGATGAAGTGGGACAAGGAGTACGAGGAGGACGCTAAGTGAGGAGGAGGAGGTGGACGACGACGAGAAGGGGAAGGGAAGGGCGAGGCGAAGAAGTACGGATCGGGGGTACCGCCTCAGCAACCAATCGCGATGGCTGCCACAGTCGATGCCCGACGCACCAGCGGTGACACCAGCGATGCAGCTCTTTGGCTCTCGGGGCCGCGCTCCCAAATGCGGGGCGCAGCCCGCAACTTGTCTCCTGCCAGGGCCGTCAGATACAGTGGAAACCCATGCCAAGAAGCACCCTGCTTGCTTCCGGGGTGCCCTGGGTATCCTGGGTTTCGATGGGCTTGCTACGGACAACTTTACGCTCCCATAGCGCACATCCATGGACGTCCTGGGGTCTCAGGGTTGGGTCTCTTGTGGAAGGTGTCTTGTGGTCGAGCTCCTACTGTAACAGTCTCATCCGCGGGGGGTGAGGCGCCGCGCGCACACACTGGGAGGGCGAGGAGGAGGAGGAGGAGGCGGAGGAGGAGGAGGAGGAGGAGGAGGGGAAGGAGGAGGAGGAGGAGGAGGAGGAGGATTTTTTTAACATTCACCGTGCAGCCACGATACAACTGAGGGGTGGCGAAACCCTCAGAGGCCACAGGGTCAGCGGGGGGCCAGGCCTGGACCTGACCAGACCTGGACCCCCCGGCCGCGCTGCCGAAGAAGACGCGGAAGGCGTAGTCGACGCACCACGCCGGCGAGCCGAGGAGGGCAAGCTCCACGACCGCGAGCACGAGGAACCACACCAGGGCCTCCTCGAGCATCAGGAAGAGGGCGGCATGCCGAGGGCCCGCATGGCCCGCACCCGCACGTCCTCCTTCGCAGGCCCCCTGGACTCCCACGGCTCGAACTGCCGCACCTCGATGCCCGTCGCCGCCGCCGCACCAACGACAGCAGCCCCAGGCCCGCTCGGCGCAGCAGGCTCCGTCGAAGACACGGCCTGCCCCACCTCCCAGCCGCGGCGCCGCCCGCTCAGCCCTGCAGCGCCGCCAGCGGCGGCGACGGCAAGACCCCCGCGTAGCAGTCCATCAGCCCAGGAGTCGTCCAACTCGGCGTCGATGTCGGGCGCGTCGGCAGCAGCCCCAGCCACCTGCACGAGCGCGAGGCCCACGCTGGCCGCCCCAGCGGCCGCCCCAGCGCCCTCCTTCTTCGCCTCTTTTGTCTCGGTGTCCAGCCTGGCAGCCGCGCGCCTCGCCGCTCGGCGCTGGCGGCGGCGGCGCCGCCGCGCAGCGCGCGCAGCAGGGTCAGCTTCAGGACGAACACCTTGAACCAGGTCGGTGCCAGCGGCAACGGCGGGCGGTGGCGATCCCGAAACGGCGAACGCCGCCGCCGAGACCGCCGAGCGAGCCACCGCCGCCACCGTGCGCTGCGGCGCCCCGAGCGCCCCGCGCACGGCCGCCTCGACGAGGCGGGCAGCCGTCGCGGGATCCAGAGCCCCTCTAGCCCGACGCGCGGCCATCGCGGGGACGGCGGGGCGCGCACCAGGCATGCGAACGCTTGAGCCAAAATGAGGAGGAGGAGGAGGAGGAGGAGGAGGAGGAGAAGGAGGAGGAGGAGGAGGAGGAGGAGGAGGGAGGAGGAGGGGAGGAGGGGGAGGGGCAGGGGGAAGAGGAGGGGGAGGAGGGGGAGGAGGGGGAGGGGCAGGAGGAGGGAGGAGAAGGAGGAGGAGGGGAGGAGGAGGAGGAGGAGGATAGGGAGGGGGAGGACGAGGGGGAGGAGGAGGAGGAGGAGGAGGAGGAGGAGGAGGAGGAGCTTGAGATTGAGATTGAGATCCCCGTTGCGAAGCAAGTCTGGTTATCGCTTAAAGCTGGGCCCCTGGTCGCTGCCTCGATGGGCCAGCCTTGCCATGGGTCTTGGGGGGGAGCCCCTCAGCTAAGCGACGAAAGTACGTACGCCCTTTACGAGTGGGGTGGATCAAACAGGGTTTGCCCAAGGAACAAATCTGTTGATCTGCTATGACCCCACACGAGCCGCAGAACCACACTTTCACTTGAGAATGGTAAATAAGGAGATGGGTTGGATGCAGCCAGCCCCCCGCTACATGTATACGCATCCCTTGGGCTGGGGCGTAAAGGGTCCCGTCCACATTGACGAGCTCCTGGCAAGGGGGTGAGTTTTCACTCCTCAGCTGTAGCAAACGACGCCGAACTGAAACATCTCAGACACTTACGTTGACACTCCGAGAGCCGATGAGCTTAGCGGAAGGAGGGGAGCACAACAGCAGAGGGGCGGGGAGGGGTTGGGGGAGGAAGGGGTACCCCCTCATTCATTCTCTCCTTGGCACCCAAGGCAAGCTCTCTCTCAGCACGGAAGCAGCCGAGCGTGGCACGAAGGAGCCGCATACGCACATGCATAACACGATGTTCCTGCAAGTGAATCTCCTGGCTGATACGGGCAGGAACGCGGGCAAGGTGGGCGGCGGCGTCGGCCAAGCTATCTGCAACTGCGTTGGCCAGAACATGTGTGCTGACAGCGCATTGGGACACGATGTCCTCCTCAGTCTGGTGATTTTGAATAAAAACTACCGACATGCATAAAGGAGGTCGGGCACACAATTGATCACGGATGCGTGCCCACAAGTCGGCGTCAGGGCCGTGTGGGCGTTCATACGTTCTAGTGTACCACCCCGCAGCAAGCGGCTCGACACTTGTAATATACAACATATAACCAATAGGGCTCTCCAAGGCCAAAAGAAAAGCACGAATTTCCCCTCGGGCGACCACTTGTCGAGTGCCACTTAGGGGTCTCATTATGGAGGCTTGGATGGACAGGGGCGTTAGCGAGTTAAGGCAGGCGATCGCGAGGCCTACGCGTGGGAGCCTGGGCCATTTGGACTCAGGCCCGCCCGGCGCACCCCCAGACATCAGCAGGGGCTCACTTTGGGTCCCGTGCCCAAGACACCCACCTACAACATCAGGCACACCTTCGGGCCACCGCACGTCATGATCAACGGGTTCTGGGGGCCACGTCCAGGGCGCTGGAAGGAGACCACGGAGCCAGAAACCCTCATCAGAATTCGCTTGGGCAAGGGCGGCAGGGACGTATTGGGCAATAGCCTCATAAGCTGGTGATCCCACGTTCTTTTCGCACTCCCAATGCCGAATGCAGCAATGTTTCAGAACAGCGCTGACACCTGTCGCATGTTTCAGTACCTTGGAAGTTCCGTACCAACAGGTTTTTCCTCGATTTGGGCCAACACCCCTTTTGTTGCAATCGTGACCATAGTCTCTGACAATTTGCATCCATTTGGTGAGGCCTCGAGTTGGGACACCAGCTTCTGGAACGACTCCATGTCCACCCCGCGTTCCAGCCCGCCACCAGCTCAGTGCTGGCTCGCAGTCTCCAAGCGCTTCTGGGATACTGATCGTAGCAGGTCTTGCAGTAGGTGGCCGTGTCGGTCTGTGTGCACATCGCCTGTGTAGGACTCGTCTGGGAACTGCCACTGTTCTGTCGTGCCCGCGTTTGTGCTGTAGTTCCACTGGTGCGGCTTCTGCGGGTCCCAGCCCGCTCTCATCAATGTTAAGATCACTGCCGAGATCGGGCCACGTACGTTACGAGGTTGGCCCGCAGGGTTAAGATTAAGCATCTGCGTGTATATATGATCCGAAACTTTACGAATACCCGTTCTGGGGTTGGGATGGTCTCGCCACGACTTCAGCCACTTGTCCACGAGTTCAACGGACAGCTTCAGCGCTGGGTCCTGGTCTGGAGCCTTGAGCTCACGCACCGTTGTGAGACAGCGGCCCTTGCCAGTCCCTCCGCTTGCCTGCGCCAGCCGTCGTCGCACCAGCTGCGTCTGCTGTCCGAAAACGCCGTGCGCCTGGTGGCCGTGCAGGCCAGCAGGGAGGCCTCCCCGCGTCTGCAGTCTGGCCGTCGCCTCAAAGCGCCTGGACGCCTAGGCGAACCTGCGGGTCTTGTTCGACATGAGCTGGTGCTCATACTCCCCCACGCGCCGTGTGCAACGGGCATGACGTCCGCATCCGAAGCCAACGCCCAGGTAGGCCGCCTGCTTGGTTCCCTGATCTGGTAGCCCCGCCTGCGGACTCCTCGGATGGTGGCCCTGGTATCCTCCGTCGTCGAGCTCATGATGCTGGACTTCGAGGCCACCCTGAGGCCTCTCGTCTCCAGCAATTGGCACGCGTGGGCGAAACAATCAAGCGTATGTTTCTGCACGGCACGGCTAGAGCCGGACATCTTCTGAGACAAATCGTCGACACATATCCGGTGGCTCACTCTGGGATGTGCCAAAGTAACCTTCTGCATGGCATAGTGGGCCAATGCCTTCGCGAAACGCGTCCCGCATCGCAGGCCCTGGGCCACTGACTGCGATGGTTCAAAGATGCCTGGCGCGGCGCCCATCTTTTC